CCCTCCCCGCTGCGGATCCCGCGTTCGCCACACCCCTGCTCTTCCAAACAATCAACACCCTCATCGGGACAAGCCCCAGCGGCGCTTCCCCATGGATCTACGCTGGGGGTGGGTGAGGAAGCCGACAGAATGGACCTTGTGCCATGACTGAGGGGAAATCTCCTTGCGGCCTCCACGCAGGGGCCTCCAGGTGTAACGACCACCCTCACGGCGCCAGTGCCGCCTCACCTGTGCTGCGCATGAGGTCGCTTCCTTAGAGAGGCAGAAGAGAGAACATGGGCACTGTGCTCCTCGTGGGCTCCTGCGCAAGGTCCCCAGGCAGCAGCAGCAGCGACGCCACCAGTTTCACTGCTGGCAGATGCGTCGGCTACAAAGCTCCAAGAAACAGCACAGCCCCCTCGAGGGAGCGCCAGTGCGAGCAGGGCACCCTGCACAGGAAACGACGAGGTGTTTTAGGAGACGTGAGAGGGTCCCCAAAGCCTCTGTGAGGGGCATCTGTCCCCTCCTTTTGCAAAGGCAAATTCCTTAACTATCCCAAGTCCAGATGAACAGGATGCATCTTAGACAGAGACATAAGAAGTCTTCTAGAATACCCTTTTTAAAGGCATTTTCTGATCTCTCCTGTGTGAGGGCTACAAATACCAGGCTTTTGTCATCCTCCTGGGCCCTGCTGAGGTAGAGGCTGACCTAGCTGGCTGGAAGGTAGGAATCCCTTTCTAAAGCACCTGCTTCCAGCTTTGAGACATCACACAACATGCCATAGCCAACATTTTTAGAGAGAGAGGACACACTGGAGAACACTCATCTGACAGCAGGGCTGACCGCGGGCAGCAGAGATGGGCCTAATGGCGCAGCTAGAAGAGTGCAGGGTAAGCAAGTCCTGAGTTCATGGTAAGTTTATAGAGATAATAATTTGTGGTGATGATAATGCAGGTGTGACAAACACTGTCCCCATCATGGGAGTAAATGCCCCTGAGTAGGCAGCAGGATGCACAGGTACAAGTGTCTCCTAATTGTCACAAACTTGGTATTTGGGAGAATATGGGGAAAAAAAAATAGGGGCCTATAAGATCCACACTAACTGAGCGCAGACTGTACCATACGCGCTAAAAGCAAGCAAACCTCTTTGGCCTGGAAGAGCCACCACAGCTTCTCTGGGCTATTTGTTGTAGTATCCCACCATTCAGCAGGGAGCAGAGGTAGCATCGACACTATGTGAGATTTTGCCCAAAGCTTCCACCCTGCTGGGACAAAAGCGCTCGCAGGTCAGTGCCAAAAGCCTGTGCTGGCCATTCAGTGCACTGGTTGCTCCCCGAAACCTTCTCCTGGCTGAAGAGAACATGGGCTACACCAAAATGTCTGAACACACAATATTATATTATGGTTTCTTAGTGAGCATGGTTTCTCATGGTTCAGCATTTTTCACCTTGTTTTTCCAGCTGCCATTCAAGGTTATTCAGAGTGCAGTGTATCCTGCTAAAAGTCAGGCATTACTCCCCTTTTCTTTCTTCATACCATGAGAAAACTTGAAAATACATTTGCACAGAGGGAGCTCACAGTGACTTCAGCCTGGCCACAGAGGGATCGCAGCCGAGACAGCGAGCGGTGAACATCTCGCTCCCGTGCGCTGTATGAAAATGGGTGACCTTAATTTGCTGCCACTGGAATAATAATGTGAACCAGACTGAGCAGCGGCTGACTCGACATTTTGGGATTTGGGGCTTGTGCAAACACGCGGTGTTGATGGATCTGTAACTGCCTGAATGAGCTGACATCACCACTCCAGAATATGCTGCTAAGTGGATTAATCAGGGGGAAGCACCCGGTTTTCCTGAGATATCATTTAAAGCAAACGTTATATTTCTTTAGCTGGGTCTTTAGTTAACCATATTACTGTGACGAATATTTCTTTGCCTACCATAAGTAATTAGAATTTAATCACTTTAACTGCATCTTAATTACCCCAAATGAATTGGAAGGACATTTAATAGCAAAGATTAAATTGCCTTAATGAACGATTTTTGCGACTGCATCAATATTTTAATCATGTTAACGGCTCCCGGCCGCTGAGGCGGCCACCCCCGAGGGGGCGCCCTC